AGGCCCACTAGTGCTCTCGAGAATTGTGTAAACACTGCGATACAGCACAGATATGCCCCAGCCCTCCAGCCCCTGGCCCTAGAAGCTAACTTGAGGTCTTGGTAGCATTTATTTGCAACCAGAAGCTCAGCTGGAGTTCATTGAATATGAGAAAATTAATTATTCTGCAAGAATGGAGGCTTGTTTAGAAGAATCTCCCACACTCTAGGATGCTCAGGGGTGAAAATAATAACAGGGGGCTCTGGGAATCGCTGGGTCCTTTCCAGCTACTAGTATTTCTGACTGGTTTGGGAAACCAAGGGGTTGGGGGGCTTTGTGTAGGAGGCGCCTCCAAGTTTGGTGGTTTAGCCCAATGGAGATGGATTCTGGGATTTGGTGAGAGGGAGACAGAGGAATATCCTTGTCCCATCTGGGGCTTTTCTTACCGCCTTTTGCCTCAGGCTACCCTCCACTCTGGGATTATTGCAGGTGCCCTCTGCCCTCACCCCTTCGGCCTGGCCTGGGGGTGCCCTTACAATGATTGTGCATAGAATAAAGGCCAGGATTGCTGGGGAGAAGGCAGCCCCTCCTTGCAGTGAGAAGGAAAGGGTGGAGGTGGCCAGGCAGGAGAGGACCACCCCTCCCTCCCTGGGGAGTTTTCTGCTTCCAGGAACCAGGCCATCCCAAACGGAGCCTTCCTCTCCCACTTCCACAATTTCTTGCTCTCCCTCCCCTTGCCTCTACCTGAAGCATCCAAGAACCTGGGAATGCCCTAACTCCTCCCCAAACAGAATGGCACATACCATTCCTTTTCCCTCCAGCCCCAGGGTCCCAGAAGCCTCTCTGGTTGGGAAGGGGGTATTCAGGCCCCATCCCAACTGCTGCCCACATGGCTTGGCACTCAGTCCCTTTCATTGAGAAATCACAAAGCACATCAGTAGGGAAATGGATAGCTCCTCTCCCTGCAGGCCCGATCTCCAGCTTTACCTGGGAGGGAGACGGGTGTCAAAGGGTGGCAGGGGCCAGCACTGGGTGGGGCAGTTGGGTTCTGGCTTTCAGTCCTCATCCTGAACCTGGACTGTGTTCCCACCCAATGCAGGTTCTTCCTAACCAGGGGCCCCCACACTAGAGAAGATCCCAAACTAACTTCCTCAGGCACTAGAGGGGTCTCTAGTCCTTAGCAGATGGTGGTTCCTAACAGTGGGGCCCTGGAATGCCCTGACCTCCGTCCCGTCCCCTCGTCAGTGGGGCCAACTCTTAGGTGGCAGGTGGTGAAAGTTGAGATTGGACTAGAAAAGTCTCAGAGGAAGCCAGGGCCTCTGTCCTTAACTTCCCCAGAGGGGCATCCAGGAGCTGTAGGGCTCCCCAGAATGTTCTCATTTTGAACCAGAGATTTCAAACCGGTGCCCAAACATGAGTGTTGAGTTTGGCCAGCACAGGATTTTTCAAATATTTGAATTTTCGTACCTATAGGCGGTGTTTGCGCTCTCCTGTTGGCCAGAGTCCTCACCACTCCCTATGGTCTAGCACCACCACATTATCATTTCATTACCATGAATTTGCAACCCATGGGCCCTACTCCCTAAAACCTTCTCCCACCGCCTGAGACTTCTGCCCACTCCAAGCCCAGGTGAGCTCCACGGAAAGGACCTTCAGAACTTTGGTTCTTGGGAGGCCACAGGGGCTGCCAGGCAAGATCTTCCTTGGACGCTCTCAGTCCCCTTGAAATTCGCCCCGAGACCCAGACCTTCCCCAGCCTTGCCTTCCCTGCTCTCTGCTTTCTCCAGTTCTCGTGGGTGGCACTCCTGTGGGACACGGGTTTAGCAAGGAGCTGGCGAGGGGACAGGCAGGTTTTGGGGCTGAGGCAGATGAGAGGAGGGGACCAAAAGAGACTTTGTTGTTGGGAGTCCCTGGCATGGAGGGGTGGCGGCCTGTGCTGTTTGCCCGGGATGGCAATTAAAAGGCACATGGAACATGAGTGCATGGAGGTGTGATGAGGAGTGCGCGGTGCTGGAGAGGTTCGGGGAGCACAGTCAGCAGTAGCCTGAGGGGTCCATTCAAGAAAACTAGGAGACGGAAGTCTGTCCTGTGGGGACACTGGTCTCTTGGGGATGAAGATATTGAGGGCAGGGCAGGGCCTGGCATATTGGGTGCCCAGAGCATCCTGTTCTCTTCTATTCCTGGAAAAATTAAGACAGACCCGCCCTAGCCGGTTTGGGTCAGTGAATAGAGTGTTGGCCTGAAGGGTCCCACATTTGATTCCGGTCAAGGGCACATGCTGGGTTGTGGGCTCAATCCCCACTAGGGGGTGTGCAGGGGGCAGCCGATGGATGATTCTCTCTCAACATTGACGTTTCTGTCGCTCTCTCGTCTCCCTTCCTCTCTGAAATCAATTAAAAAAAAAAAAAAAAAAAAGACAGACCCAATTTTGTCTCAGCTCCAGGAAAAGCCTTACTCTGCCACTGACTTCCTGTGTGATCTTGTGCAAGTCCCCAGCCCTCTCTGGGCCTCCATTTCTCCTTTACATGGATGTGGAGGGCAGATGGCTCATCATGAGGCCTCCACTGGGCTGTGGTTCTGGAACCTGCGCTCACTGTAAGGACCCTGTAGGGTTTCTGGGAGAGGACGGAACAGCAAGGCTGGGGTGGAGGGCAGGAAATGGGGAGCAAGAGTCGGGGATCCAGGGGACCCAGGGGATCTAATTCTGGTGGGGAAGAGCCTGGCTGAGGTAGATTGTCACAGAAACAAAAACAAAACAACAACTGGAATGGGATGGTGCCTTCTCCACGGAGACGCTCTGAAACAGAGGACTGGCAAGGACCAGATAAGGGGGAGGACAGGCTGGCGGAGAGGGACCTCAGGCCTGGAGGGATGGACCCTGAGTTCCTGGGGGTGAGGGTGGGGGAGTCCTTAAGGGGCTAAGCTTTTTTCCTGAGGATGAGAAGCAGGAGGAGGTGCCTGCAGCCCTCTCTGAGGGCCATTTCTGCTGGTCAGATGTCTTGCAGGCAGAGGTTCAGAGGGAAGGTTTCGTGGGATTGAGATGAGGGGGGTGGGGATGGAATAAGGTCCAAAACGGTGGCCATGGCTTCCCCGAGAGCCTCAAGCCTTGCCTCGCACTGCCGGCTCGGTCTTATTCCCTCTTCGCTGGGTCTCTCATGGAGCCATAAGGACTCCCAGCTCCTAGAGAGGTTTATTTTTTAAGTTTTCCTTTTAGGATGCTGGAGAATGGATGCCAGATGAGCCATTCTAGGACACTGGGGAGTAAAATAACTTGCCAAGGGTGACCCTCATGCCACATCTCTGAGCCTCAGTTTCCTCCTGTCAGATGGGTTGATAACACTTATTTTTTAGGGAAGTTGCGAGCCAGGGAAGGTTTAAGTGAAACAAGATGGGGTGAAGACTGGTACGGTCAGCCCTGGAGAAACAGTCAAGAGGATCTGGGTCCACATCCTCCGTGCGCCCCCCTCACAGAGGGCTCCGGCATGTGGGTACCTGGCCGTGAAATTCGGTCTCCAAAGACTGATTTGGGCCGATCAAAGAGGATGGGTGAACGAACCAGAGGGAGGCTGGGTCAGCCGCAGGCTTCCCCCACCACCTATCACCTTGAGGCCTGGTTCCTGAGCTTTCTCGGGGATTGGGGACGGAGAAGAAAGTGGGAAGAGCATTCTTCATGTGTTGGTGGGAGGAATGCACACACCATCTCGGCTGGTGTGCCAGGGGGTGAGGTGGCTTGTGTCACAGGTTTGATGTGTGCTTATGTGTGTGTGTTTATGTGGATGGTCCTGTCCTCTCTGCCTTTGGGGTCACCCTGCACCCCGAGTGTGGCCCTCTCCCTTCATCCTCAGCAAACTCAGTATCACCCATCACTCTCTGATGGAACAGCAGGAGTCCGGGACCTTGTGAGACTAGCTGCCGCCACTCTGGGCCTCAGTTTCCCCTCTGTAACTCCAGGGAGGCTGCACCAGGGAGGGTTAAATGCTCCTCTAATGTGCATAGTCCAGGCTTCTCACGGTCCACCTCACCCCCAGCCCAAGCCTGCATCTTGCTTTAACATCACCTGCTGCGTCCTGGCATGAACACACCTTAGTTTGCCCGGGGGAGTGGGGACATGGTGGGGGGTTCCAAGCTCTGCCTAGAGGCTTTGTCCCTCACCCCACAGACTGCCTACTCCTACACTCCCCACCCTACCCAGGTGGAGAGGAGAGGCCCAGGACGAAGGATCTCAGGGGCACCATGGGCTATCTGGGACATGGGAATAGACCTCAAGTCTCAGGGATTGGGCAAAACAAAGCAGTTTTCCAGCTGCCGCCCAAGAGAGCCCTTCTGCAGGGCGGCCGAGAGCCGCGATTTATGTCAAGTCCCGAGAGCTCATTTTTTCTGGCTGGAAACCAGCTGGGAGTTGAAATGCACCAGGGGTTCCTGAGGACAATGTCCTCTTAGGAAGATGGCTCTGGACCAAGGTGGACAGGAGCACAGAACTCCTATGAACCCCAGAAGTCTAGAACTGGGGTATCTATTCCTACAATGTTCCACTCACACGGGGTTCCAGCGGCCCCTCCTCCACCACCATGGCAGGAGCCAGAATTCCCCAGAGCACAGCAGCAGGGCTCCAGCGCACTCACCCTCACCACAGAACCCAGGTCGGTGACTCCCTAGGACAGTTTATCAGCTAAGGGTTCTAGAACTTAATCCAGAACTAAGACTGTCTCTCTAGGACAGTTCCTCTGCTAAATGCGCTAGAACCTCGTCTATAATTGAACCCAGACAGAATATCTTCCTAGACATTTGATCTGTTGCATTCAAAACCTTTTTCCACAAGAAATGTTTTAGACGCTCATCTAGAACAAAGAAAGACTCCTGGAAGCATTTCACTCGAGGTGTCTGGAACCTCAACCATAACACAGGGGTCTCTGGAGGAGTTTACTTGGGGAACATTCTCAATGCTCTGGATCTGCTACCCTTCGCGTTTCAGCTCGCTTGAACCCCTCAGATGTCTCAGGGTTCTTCGTCCCCTCCAGCTCTAGCACTGTCTACCTCCCACCCCAACTCCCCACCCCACCCCAACTTCCTCCCTTAAATCATCTCTGGCCCAAGCTCCAAACCTTGGACCCCACAGGAACTGTACCCACCTTGTCCTCCAGATGCTCCCACCTCACTCCACTTCTTCCATAGTCTCCTTCATCCCCAGCACCCCCTCAGGAGCACAGGGCCTCCGTCAAGGACCCCAGACAGTGCCCCTTCTCTGACAAGTCCACCAGGGGTGACGCGTGGGCAACTCCAGGCAGGGGAGAGGGTGTGGAGCCCCCAGCACCAGAGGTGGTATGGAGGCCTTCATGAAAGTGGGGCAGCTCATGAGGAGTGTAGCACCAGTGAATTCCCTGGGCCCTGATTCGAGGGGGCCTGTTAGAAAATGGGCCACAGCGCTGAAAACAGGGCCTAGAGCTGGGGCCTCCACAAGGCTGCCCCCTCCCCTGAAAGAACCCAATGGTGGAGCCACTCTACCCTTGGACCAACAGATCCACTTCCCCTTAGCCTGGTGGCCCTGAAATTCCAGGCTCAACACTGTGGTCGATGTGAGGTCAGCCAAGTCCATCCCCTTTTGCGGGGAGAAACTGTGGCCTACACTGTGGTCTCATACTCCAGCAGCTCCTGGGAGGCCCCCACGCTCCGGTACTGCAACCGGGGCGTGACGGGTGAGTTGTACTCCAGCGCCAGAATGGTCTTCCGGAGCCGGCGGTCAATAAAATGAGCATCCCATGCGGGGTACTTCTTACGAGGCAGGTCAATCCGAATGACAGGCCCCTCTGTCCGCAAGGTGCGGGGCACTGGTGTGGGAGGCAAGCCAGGCCGCACCTGGAAGACAGGTGGTGTGGGGGTCCCTGCACGCTCACCCCCCACCGAGACCCCATCTCGCTCAGCGCCTGTAGTCCTCGGCAGGGACCTCGGGGGACTTGTGACAGCATCGGCTGGCGGGCCACAGGGCTCTGGGGCCTCGGGGCAGATGCAGCCTGGTGCCTGGGGCCCCAGCATGGGCCCATTGGGGTGCAGGAGGCAATAGTAGACACACATGAAGAATATGCCCAGCGCAAAGCTGGCGGCCACCACGCAGACCAGGATGAGCGAGTGGAAGTCAGTGGAGAAGTTGCGGCTTGAGTACCAGAAGCCAGTGAGCGCCGCGTTCTCCACCAGGATGATGCAGTAGTAGAGGGTCATGCGGCGGCGACTGCGGCCCTCCTTGACGTTGAACCAGCAGAAGATGTAGATGATGCCCACCACCATGTTGTAGATGATCTCTTCCCACTTGGACATGCAGAAGTCCGTCTCGCCTTGGATGACCCAGAAGGTCATGATGCACCAGTGGGCCACGATGAAGATGCCGAAGTAGAGCTTGTAGACGCTGGCAAAGAGCGCAAAGGCCAGGCTGCGGGCCGCGATGGTGAACAGGTGCCAGAGCACCTGGGCCGCGGCGCCTTTGTAGGACAGTGGCCGCTTGTCATCTCGGGAGTCCCGCAGCACCTTCTGGTAGGAGGCCAGGGTCCAGGCCAGGGACACGAGTGAGGCAGAGGTGGAGAGGGCTGTGGAGACAGGGTGGGGACGGGGTGGGCTGGGTTAGGGGTGGGTCTGGGTTGGGGGTGGGTAGAGGGGAGGGTTCCGGGTCAGGGTCTATAAATCAGGCAGGGTGTGGGAGGGTCTTAGTGGGTGGTCTTCAAGAGTGATGATGGGGGGATGGATAGAGCTGGGTACTTCTTCTGGGTGGGAGTATGAAGGGAGAGGGGAGGTGGGCGATTTGGGTCTCCATAAGGGTTAGGTCTAGGTCTCTAGTATCAGACTGTTAGGGTTCGGGGGCTGGTGGGAAGGTGGGGAATTAGTCTAGGGCTCTGGGAATGGAAAAGGAGGTAAAGCGTTGGGAGGGGGGTCACAGTGAGGGCACGGAGGAACCGGGAGAGGACTATTAGAAGCGATAGGTCACCACGATGAGACTGGGGTGTGAAGGGGGATATCGAAGCTGAGCACAGCCGAGGGGACGGAAAGAAAATCTACGGTGGGAGAGTTTGATGGGGCCCAGTATCCCCAGCAAGGAAGGAATGTCCCCAGGGCCTGGGAGGCGGGAGAGTCTTTCAGGACATTAAGGGTGGGCTGGGCAGAGTATTGGTGGGAGGAGCATGGGGAGCTCCAAGGAGAGGGGGCTCGGGGGATGTGGCTTTTCTCTGACATGGAAGGGGGTCTGGTCTGTTGGAGTTAGGGAAGGGGCCAGGAGGAGTTGCGTGCATAGGACCAGGGGGCTGAAGAGCAGTGAGAGGGCGGGTGGATAGGCTCTCTGGTCTTCTACAGTTTGGAGAATGAAGGGGGTGGGGAGGGCCTGAGGTGCGGTGAGGGGGTCAAGGGCCTCTTTGGACTTGGCAGCAACGGGGTCTGGTCCCTGACAATGGGGAAGGGAGGAGGGGCCGAATGCGGGACCACCCAGGGGGCTTGAGAGGAGGCTCAGAGGTGAGGGGCCAGGTCTCTAACGCTGAGGGTGAGTGGGCTATTGGAGGGGACAGGGAGGCCTTCACCGGCCTGGAGGGTGGTGAGAGTAGAAGGGGCTAGGCCGGCAAAACCTTGACAGTGAGTGGGGCGGGGGCCCGAAGCAGGAAGAGCTGACACGCGGGGCAGTCAGAATGCTGAAGAGGACGGAGCCCGGGTGGGGGTGGGGC